GGCTCAGTGCCTTGCACAGGACACTTCGACACGTGACTGGGCAGGGTTAGGTTTCAGGTTTTATTTTTGGCTTCTATGAACTGTGGTCATTTATATTCAGACATGTGCCTGATTGTTTGAAGAGTTATCTTTTATGTGTGTTTTGCTTTGCTTTGCTTTATTGCTAAGCCACTTGTTTCTGATCTACGAATCTTTCTGACATAAAAAGCCCCATAAAAATCTCAAAAGGAACCAAGTGCACAGTAATTAGACAAACACACAGTTTAACGTTAATCATTTTATCAGCTGAAAGCTTGTCGTGCAGTAAATGAAGTGTCTCCCAGGTCCCATGTCTGGTCTGCACTGGATTTTTATCAACATCTCATTTGAGTTTGAAAAAATGTTTGCTGCTTTTTAGGCTTAGTACTTTTTGTTTTGTCATCTGTTTGTCCAGCTTCCTCATTCTTGTGAATAAGTCATTACAGTCAGTTAGCATTTGGTGCAATAAGTAACCAAAGCCCCCTGAATAAATGTCAAAAAACCCTCAGAAAGCCTGAAAAATATCATTTGAGACCACTTCTGGCTCATGAGAATCATAAAAAAGAATGACATTTGCACAGTCCTGTATGTTTTTCTTTTATTATGACAGAATAAACAAACATGGCAACTGATTCCATATAGTTCTGCTCTGCTGGTATGAGAAGGTGTTAAACCTGGAGTCTGTCTTGCTAACCCTTTTTAAAATATATTTTAATGACCTTAAATAAGTATTTACTGTTGAACAAGGCCTAACAGAAAGGACAGAGCTCCCTTCACGCTGTCTGAACAGACCTAATCTTCAGTCACTTATTTTAGTGACCTTGTTCAGACCAGTTAGGCTCTCAGGACAGAAGTGATGTAACAGTGTTCAGTTCATGTCCTCCATTAAAGAGGATTAGGATGCTGGAGAAATGCTCCAGAAGTACAGGTTGATTTGTTTTACATGTGTGTACATATAAAAACCATTTAAAAACCTTGAATTTGACGATGGGAAGACAACAGTTTTCAACAGTCTGCAAAATTACACAACAAATGGCTTTCATCAAATTTGGTGGAGCTGGGAAAGATCAGAAACACAAGGAGCTCAGGATAAAGGATGAAAAATATCTCAGATCACACACTAACCTAAATGACCCTCAGTCAAAGTCGTAACAGTTTGTGCTCAAAGAAATACTTAGGATAAAAGTAGGGAAATCATTGCAGGTTTTTCTTTAAAATCCAGTGTGCGATTTTTGAACAGTCTACAGTCAAAGCTGGGATATTTTCATGTCTATAAAGTACTTGGGAAAAAAAACTAAGTAAAAGTAAAATTACATAAACAGAAAATGACTTTGGTAAAAATAAATTTCACTGTTGAAAAAAACCACTCAAGTAAAAGTCATAAAAATGTTCACAAAAATTGGGAAAGTAAAAGTAAAAGTACTTTTACACACTAAGAAATAAACTGTTGAATTTATTGAATCAAACTGGTTCCACTAAACCAGGTTCAGTAAATCGAGCAATATTTGTTTATTCTTTGCTCAATTCACTCATCTAGGCTTAGTGGAGCCAGCTCATATGACTTTGTTGAGTAAATTAAACACTTCAATTTTTAGAGTGTAGAAACATCTTCTTTCATGATGAGTATGAACAGATTTAATTTTGTAATGAGTAGGTGTTACATTTTAAAGTAAATATATTTTAAATAAAGATGCAAAAATACAATTTTTAGCTTTAAAATGTAACAAAATAAAATTAAAAGTAGCTATTTAAAAATTCAGTTGGTAAAATTACAAATCCTCAAGTTCTGTAACAAAGTAAATGTACTTAATTACTATAAACCCCTGGATATTTACTTCCTGCTTTATTAAATGTTTTGACGGCCAACAATAAAGTGTAACCAGGCTGATGCCAAGATTTCACATATTGCTCAGTTCTGAAAAGTTTTAAATGAAGAAAAACAAATCGGTGAAAATTTTGAGATAATAAGGAGCAAAACCTACTTTGTTCTTGTCTGTATTCTGGAAAATTTAGACATAAACTTTTAAATCTACTTACAATAAATAAAGAAGCAAAAGTAAAAACACTTTAATACAAAATGACTTTGGTAAAAAAAAATTTTTACTGATAAGAAAATTACTTAATTGTAAGTCATAAAACTGCTCACAATAATTAGGAAAGTAAAAATAAATGTATTTTAATACAAACACTAACAAGTCTTGAGTTCACTTACAAACTGGTTCCAATAAACTGAGTTGAATTGAGCAATTTTACACAATTTCATTTAGAGAAAATATGTAAATTGTGTTATATTTACTCAAGTCTGTTAAGTGGAACCAGTTGACGTAAGTAAATTATACACTTCATTTTTTAGAGTGCATAAACAACACCTTTCATGATGACTTTGGTCATATTTAAATTTGCATGTAATGAGGTGTTTAATTTTAAAAGAAAGAAATACAAGTATATTTTTTATGTTTTGAATGTAACGTAGTAAACGTAAACATTACAATTAAACATTCTCAAAAAACTGGACTATAATGAAGTAAATGTACTTAGTTACTATATACATCTGTTTAAATCTTTCATTTTAACAATAATTTTAAATCATCTAAGGTTTTAACATCCTAACACAGATCAGAATCTGTTTTGAAAGGTCTCCACAAAATTTGGTTGAAATTATCTGTTAAAGTTTTTTTTATTTTTACTGAAGCCTGAACTTCTATCATTGTTCACGTTTAAACAACAAATCGTTTTTTTTTTTCTGCTACATTGCTCTTCCTTCATTGTGTAATACAGACAGGTCGATAACTTAGTGACATGATCTGGTCACAGTGATTAAACTAATCACTTCATGTAACCAGGTGTGGATGAGGCAAGATTTAATCTGGAGATTAGCCTGGAGAGCTCATTATGTTGCTCGTGCTGTGATTATATGCAACACATTTATTAACAAAGTCACACACATACACAAAATAAATACATGAGCTAAAGAAAGTCAAACAATGGTAATAATATCTCAAGCAAAGTTACAAAACTAACTGGGCTTGTTTGTATTTTGTGTATAATGTAAAAATATTAAATATCCACAGCAGAAATCAACTTCAGCTGACTGCCTGTAATCCACCATGCAACTTGGACATTATTTATTTAGGTGCAGCAAATAATCTGTGTTTGTTCTCTGAAAATATTACATTTTAAGCCAAAAAT